TTAACAATTGGCTCGCGCCCCCTAGCACACGCACGGCGGTTCCAGGCGCTTTTGATATGCTAATCAATGTGCGGCGTGCGCGGCATAAATCCTAATTAATCCCTTACCCTCCCTAACAATGGTACCTGCGCGCTCAAGCGTAATTATCCCAACCCTCCGTGACTATGCGCAAGAGCCCCTGCGGTCCCGCTATTCATGCTGTCCCGTCCCTCCCCTGCTTGCCCCGTCGACACGTGGGTGGTGTGTGTGGGGGATGCGCTTCAACCGCGGTGGCCGAATGCCCCTCGCCGCGGCCATACCATCTTAAGGCCGGTCGCAGCGCCGCGGTGCAAAGTAGTGTCAGGGGAGGTCGTCCAATTCCCTGATCGCCGGAAACCGTGAGAGTTAATCCCGATAAGGGTTTCTCGGATAAAAACCGGTCGATCAGGTGACCTTCCCTTCCAGCTCTATGGGGGGGGGGGGGATGCGTGCGGGTGTGTTCATGTGAGGTGAGGTGAGGGGGACGAGGGGTTGGCTCCGTTGCTTGGTGGTGGCGAGGTCGGGGGTGGGGCGCCTGCCGAACGGCTTCGTGGCGGCGGCATCACAGATCCACCAACTCTCGCTGCTGCCTCCAATACTGGATTACAGACCACGTGCGTAGCCACCACGACCCGGCTGTGCACGTAATCTGCTGTTACATATTCATTGGAGTCATGGACCCCGACGAACTAAATCTGAAAAGCGTGCAAATAATCATGGAGAGATGTGGGCTTTGAATGACACCGAGACATGCAAATCGGAGAAAATACTGACTGAAAATGCATGCTGTATTGTGAAAAGTCATTTGGGGCCGTCCATAAATGACGTCACGCACCTGGGGGGGGGGGGGGTCGGACATTTGTGACGATGTGTGACGAGGGGGGGGGGTTTGAGAAATGTGACGTCACATCAAAATGCGCAACTTTAAATAAATATAGACAACACGTTCTACTTAATTAAATCAACTTTTTTTAAATAAATGTTTTCTCCTACAACATCAGAGTGCAGCGCCACATTAAATACGCTCTACAATGACAATCGTTTAAAGCGATTTGAAGTATGTTTTATTTTGGGGGGAGGGGGGGGCAGAGCTTTGTGACGTCATATTTGAGGGGGGGTCTGACTTTTGTGACGCCGTGTGACGAAGGGGGGGGGGGGGGTCAAAAATCGTCCAAAATCGCGTGACGTCATTTATGGACGGCCCCTTTCCCGAAACGTCACCTAATATAGACGTCACAGTGGCGAGATGTTCCTTACCTCGCCTGGTATACAGGAGGTCGTGGGTTCGATCCTGACGCCTGTATATTTGGAGTTTTGCATGTTCTCCCTGGGGTCGCGTGGATTTTTCTCCGTGTTCTTTTCGCTCCACATTTAGAAACATGCGTTTAGAGTATTCGGCTGCTATTAATTTTCACACGATAAGCTACTTCCTTGAGCTATCATTTGTGGCCAGGTCGTTTCTGAAAAAAGACCTATATAGCTCAGCGGGCCTTACCTGGTAAAATAAAAATATATATTTTAGTTTTAAGATATAATCTTTTTCTTTTTAAATCAGTACTTTTGACTAATGTATTGAATTTATGTTATCTGTGCATGTGTACCACTGCCAACACAGCAGGAACAGCATCACTAAATACATTGATGAAGCAAGTCGGTTTGGGTAGGGAATACATCATGGCGCGATGGTGGTGGAGGGTCGAGACTAAAGACGGAGCAGCAGCCAAGGAGGGATCACGCCCGACAGGGCATCCACGGCGAGAGATGGGAGCTATGCAATCAGCCCGTGCGCAGAGGCTATGGGTGGATTGGTGCATCGCAAAACCGTGAAGAGATGGCGACTGTTCGGATAAATCTTCATTCAATAGTGGATTGATCATTGCTGATGTTGATGATTAAAGAGAATCGATTATTGAGTGGTAGCGCCACCCCGAATGGAATCGATACACCCAAAGCTATTACGATAAATACAGTATTCACGGTACCTCCGATTAGCACGGTTGGCTACGTACGGTGCGAAAGATGTTCAGCATACATACATACGTATTGGCTGGACGTGTGATGTTAAGTATTTTGAACTTCTTTCGCACCGTACGTGGCCAACCGTGCTAACCGGAGGTGCAGGGGAAGGACAGCTAATCACAAAAAGCGGTTCTCAAGAAATGGGTTTTGAATTCACTTGATATAAAAATGCATAGCTCCAGTGGCTTCCTAATATCGGAAGGAAGAGCGTTCCAGAGGGCCGCAGAAACGCGTCTGAAAAAGCGCGATGCAGTGGCCGTCTTGGTCGATGGCCAGCCAAAAGGCGCTGCGAGGATGACCAGAGTTCGCGTGATGATGATGGTTTATGCTACTTGACGAGATCAGCAAGGTGTTGTGGTTTATTTGTGGCCAAGCACTTTTGTGTTGCAATGAGTGCGACCTTATAAGACGTCACCAGAGTCCCATATTGGCACGCTGGATCGTACCTTAAATGCAAGGCCGTAATTATAATATATATTGGGGGACACACACCCCCCCCCCCAATATTCAAATATGCTCAAAATGTCCCCCCCCCCAATATATTGCTATTAAATAGATTTCTGTTTATATGACTGTGGTTATGGTTGTACTTTAATCATCCTTAATCTCTGCCATTACATACAATGAAACAAGAAAAGGTAAAACGAAAAAACAGAGCAATGTAATACAATACACTATTAGACATTATTGTAAAACATAAATAAAAAGTCCATCCTATGTGTTAGTGAATTTTTTAAATATTTTAGGCAGGAAATTCGTTTTCAAATTTAGCTTTTTCTTCTGGGGAAGGACCCCCAGACCCCCTGGAAGATTTGGTCCCCCCCAATGTTGACTCCATGGCTACGGCCTTGATTACATGTATACAATATATACCATTGACGATGTGTGAAACTCTCGCGTCGAACAACCCGGGGACACACAGTCTCCCGCAGTATACAGCTACGAGATATGAGCCGCTTCTGTTTTGTGTTACATCTTCCGCTGCAGCATCGTAGCAGCAGCATCATTTGAGTCGTTTTATGTGCTACGAAGAAGGAACATTTCCCGACACGTCGCCTATCATATATTTAAATGTGAAGGCCACACACAGTGTTATGGATCAATGAGTGATTTTCTTTTGTAAATAAGTGAGCAGGGAGGAGCAGAGCTTGGGGAAATCCTCCAGTGACGGGGGATTCCCCAGTGACGTCACTCGATATTCAAAGTGTGCGAGGCTTGGGCTGAGTGTACGACGTTTCATTTTCAGGTCCTTATCTCACCTCTTCATCTCGCCGGTCACCAGTAATCTCCATTACCAAAGCTCACCTCATCTTCATATTTCCGAATCACATTACTCACCTCTTCACATCTCATCATCTTATATTCTTCACCTCTTCATTTACCACAGCTTAACTCATTTCACCTCGTCACAGTTATCACCTAATCTCACCACTATCTCCCATCTCTCATCATCATCTCATTCCTCACTTCTACCTCATGACTATAGGATTCGCAGATGTTAATGTTTTTGTTAATGCGTATTATAATGTCTATCTTATTGTAAGGTAATGCATATGTTAATGCATATGCCAATGCAAATGTTAATATACATATGTTTGTGTATGTTTTAATTTATGTGGTGATGTATATGTTAATGCTTATGTTAGTGTGTATGTACATGCATAGGTCAATGCATATGTGAGTGCATATGACATTGTGTATGTTATTGCATATGTTGATGTTTATGTATATGTTGATGCGCGTGATCGTCACACAAGTGACGACATCACATATATCTCTCTATTTAAGACCGAAACAGGAGGAGGATTTCTCCACAACTTTGGCTGTCGCCTGATTATGCTGGTTGTAATTACTGGCGAAACATCGTACTTGAATTGTAATTGTTGTGGTGGGTTTACTCTCCAACACAACCGGTGTGTTGAACTCGTAACGAATTGGCATCGTTTTATTACGTGACAAACCTTACTAATTGGCTGTGTCGGGTGGTGGCAGGTTTAACGACACATTTATACGTAGGCTTTCGCGACCAATATTATTTATAATAAACGTTTTTGGGTTAGATCGCGTTACTTCTAAATGTGTCGTAACCCTCCACCACCCGACACGGCCAATCAGCAAAAAAGTGTCACGTTGACAAAAGACAAATAGTTCACTACTTTAGCCCACCGGTGTGTTTAAGAGTGAAATCAACAAGGCTCGATTATTATACCTGTCAACCCATACGGTTACCTCGTATTCTTGAACAGGGTAATTGAGTTTTCAGGTCCATATGGCGTAGAGCCGTTTCAATACAGGCAACATTTTTTTTGTCTATTTGCTTGTGTTTCTCCCTTGTGATCGGACTTTGTAGGATGAACGTTGAGATTTATAAGGACACGGGGTGACCAATAAGGTCTGAATTGATTTGTAATAAGATAGGCACCGATAAGGGGTTGTATTACTGCAACTCACTACTCTATGGGACGTCTGGCAAAAAAACATTACCAGACTGCACCGTGCACAAAACTCTTTGGCACGTGCAGTGATGGGTACGGCAAGATCCGACCATGGTTTATGCAAGGAGCATGCAAGGAGCCTGAACCATCACCACACGAACTCTGGTCATCCTCGCAGCGGCTTTTGGCTGCTAGCCATCGAACGGCGGTCACTGCATCGCGAGGCGCTTTCAGATGCGCTTCTGCGGCCGTCTGGAACGCTCTTCTTTTCAATATTAGGAAGCCACTGGAGATATGCACCTTTAAATCATCTACATTGAAAACTCATTGCTTTAGAACTGATTGTTGTGTTTAGTTTGGTGTCCTTCCCCCGCACCTGCGATTAGCACGGTTGGTTACGTACGGTGCGAAAGAAGCTCTCTACAAATTTACATAGTACAGGGTCATCTCACATTCCTCACCTCGGGGTCATGTTTTGTTTTTTGTTTGTTGCGGTTGCACCCGATTCAAGAGCCGAATGGCTCACAGGGCTATACCTAATAAATGAACTTGAACCTCGGGATCACCTCCTCACCTCAAGGTCATCTCGGGGTCACCTCGTTACCTCGGGGTCACCTCGTCACCTCGGGGTCACCTCACCTCAAGGTCATCTCGGGGTCACCTCGTCACCTCGGGGTCACCTCGTCGTCACCTCGGGGTCACCTCGTCACCTCAGGGTCACCTCGGGGTCACCTCGTCACCCCCCTCTCGCCACACGGCGGCAGCCATGGCCGGGTGCGAGTGACGCTGGCTGCCGTCCCCAACCCAACTCGGACTCAAACCCTCGCTCAGGTGGGTCCGGGGAACCCGGCTAGGGGAGTCGAACCGCGGTGTTTTCGCCTCACCCGGCGCTAGGGAGTCCACGGCGGGGCTCTGTGAGATGCCGGCGACGGTGCGAGCGGAGGATACCAGCATCCACGCGTGACCCTGGCCCAGGGTGAGGGGTGCCGGTTGAGGCGCCTAGGAAAGAGCGGAGGCTTCGCGTGCGTGCGGCACGACTAGGCCGCGACCTTAACTCTCCGTCTGAGACTGCTGCTGATTATTCTGATAATCTGCAGATGTTTAGTTATACTGCCGATTCATCTGTCACTGCCGATTCTTATACAGTACTGCTGATTATATTTCTGGTTACTGATAGCTGATGCTGGTTTTTTTACTGCTATTGATTCTACTTATGCTGATTCAACCGCTTGCTGCTCTTCATGACGCTGCTGATGATGGATAATTATTTTGCTCAAACTTATAATAGATATAGTACATAACTTTTACCAATCCGTCGCAATGATAAAGCTGCCGCTGATGATGATGTTATTGATGATGATGGAATGTCTAGTTGTGATGGTGATACTGATTGTACTGTTGCTATCCGATGAGGATGTTGCTGCTATTGATGCTTATCTTGATGGGATTGCTGATTGTGATGATGTGTATCTGGTGATGATTCTACCGATGGTTTATACATAGCTGTCAACCCATAGGGTTTACCCCGCATTCTTGTACATGGAAATTTAGTTTTCAGGTCCGTACAGCCGTTTCAATACGGGCAAAAAATGTGTCGTCTGTTTGTGTTTCTCCCTTGTGATGGCATTTTGTAGGATGAACGTTGATATTTATAAGAGCAGGGGGTGATCAATAAGGTCTGAATTGGTCTGTAATAAGGTAGGCACTGATAAGGGGTTGACCGCTATGTGGTTATAGTGGTAAACCGGTTGAGGAGACGACGTGAAGGTCACACACAGGAGCCAGGCAGTTGGTGGGGCTATCGCACTTCATAGCTGCCTTCAACTGGTGGTTGGAGGTTTGTTGGTTGGAGGTGGTGGTAATGGGGAAGGGGAGATGAGGGTTGCTGTGGTCTCAAGGATGGAGAGCGTAGTTCGCGCACTGTGCCACGGACCCAGCAACCCGAGTTCTATTCCTGCTCCACAGCTAACAACGGTGACGAATATCTGAACCTGGGCCTTGACATCTCTTAGGTCAACCTAGCCCTAACTGAGTACCTGATGCGATGTATAACCATCGCCACTGGGGAGACGAAGGGAGCCCGGGCTTGGTGCTAGCCAAGCATAGCCTCGTTTGCTGTGCCGGCCTTAATCGGTGCGCTTGGCCAATTCTTTAAAAGTTTAAACGTTCCTTCTCTCACCTGACCCAGTCGCGTCTCCTAGGATTTAACCGCCCCCATCTGACTCCAAATACCTGACCCTCAGCATATTATCCTATTATCATCGCTAGAATTGTTACCATTATTATTAAATATTTGTCTTTCTATTTCTGAACATACTTATTTAGTTTGTACCCCTGTTATTGGGCTTAGTGTTAAATTCAACGGAGATACATGTACTATATATATATATAAATGCTGCTTTTAGAAGACTGGAATGTTTTTAGATGTGGGTGCGATGTCTAATGGTGAAAATCAGTTGGACGGAGATGTAAGAGTGACAAAGAACTATCAAAAGATCTGAGCCGAGCATGTTGCCACAGGGGAAGCTTTGTTGCTAGACTCTCTCAAGAGAATGGAAGCTGGAGAAAGAGGCCAATGGATAGGAAAATCAAGGTGCTGTTTGGTACTTAGTAGAAATTATATCTGTACAAGGGAACGACCAGAGGGAATGGTGGGAGCTTGAACCAAGAACCTGCCCAATATGGCAAGCGATGCCTGAACTGAAACTGGGCAACTTTTTACTTCACCAGCCTATACCGACCAGCATCATGAAGTATGGTCAAACCACGCCCTACGTCTGACACGGCGTCACGAGCACTTCATCAGAGCATTGGATTGACAATTCGCTGTAAAAATGTCGGTATTTTATTGTGATTTTTTTTATCATTTCCATCATTAATTTTGTAGCTACTGTAACAACCGATATTCGTTTTAATTAATATTATCGTTGTTATTCAGATCGGCCATGACGAGTGCTCTCTGCGTGTCTCTCCGGGTCGGACGGGCGCACGGCGCCGCTGCGCTCCGTGTCTCCGTCGCCGGTTCCCCTCCTCCCTCGCGCTGGGACCCCCGGCATCGTCCTGCCCAGAGAGGCTACATCTCACTGCCCGCGGAGCGCAAGGTTTCACCGCCGCTAAACCCAGAGCAGGTAAACTAAACTTGAAATAAACTTTTCATGTTATTTTACCAGCTAAGCCCCACTGGGCTATATAGCTCTTTTTCAGAAGTGACATGGCCACATGATAGCTAAATGAGGTGGCTTATTGCGTGTTAATTTATAGCAGCCAAATGCTCTAAAAGCATGTTGATTCTAAATGTAGAGAGAAAAACTGAAGGACCCGGAGAAAAATCCATGGCCACGGGGACAAGATGCAAACTTCAAATATACAGGCATCAGGGTAGGGATCGATCCCACGACCTGCATACCAGCCGAGGTAGTTAACATCTCACCACTTTGATAAGACACTACCAGGTGACACCTCCACCAATAGTGTCGTGCCACTGAGTGTTGGTGTCTTCTCAGCCAGAAGACCTGTTATTGCATTGGATTGACTGCTCGGATATTCTATCTCCACGCACTTCTGTTCTTGAAAACGAATTTCTTTAGAACTGCCTATTATATTTAGTTTGTTTTCCTTCCCCTGTACCTCTGATAAGCACGGTTGGCTACGTACATTGCGAAATAAGTTCAACATACACATATACATCCTGCGTGTATTCTCTTTGTCACATCCACCATACTTATTACATAGAGACCAATAGACCTGCATACGCTTATATGGCTACGTACGGTGCGAAAGAAGTTTAGCATACATTTTACATGAACCTTAGAATTACATAAAGACCCATAGACTCTGACAAATGTATATGATCCATAGACTTATGTCGAGAAACATATACTTACATTGAGACCCATAGACTCACATGCACTTACATGGTCTATATATTTGTATACAGACCTATAGATATACTAATATGATCCATAGACTTAAATAGAGTGCCATAGACTTACATCTTTTTCTTCACCAAAAGTCCCATGAGGGCAGTGGAGTCCATAAGTCACATCCACTAGTCCTCACATCTTAGTCCACCACATCCCTTACATCTCACTCGCGGTGGCTCCTTCCTTTGCCTGCAGGTGGATGGGATCCTGCGCACGGACGAGTTTGAGTGTGAGCTGGAGCGGGAGTTCCGCGGGGGGACTGTGCTCAGCCTCCACAGCAACCAGCTAGCGGCGAACACCCCCGTGGAGGACCGGCGCACCGCCGCCACCTGCCTGCACACGGGAGGGCTTCTGGTGGGGCCTCCATACACACACACAAAGACTAAGATCCCCCATGTAGCCTTTAACAGTCTCTTTGGGCAAGTGCTTTTAGTGAGCACCTATGTTGGCCAGCATAGCACACTCGGGGGTAGGTGGCCAATATTTACGCCTGGCCGCCGTTGTCTGAGCTTTACACACAGCACCAGGTTCAATTTTTTAAGCGCCCGTGTTTCTGGTCATGAGCGGCAATTGAACCGCTACACTACGGCGCAAAAAATAACAAAGACACACATGCACACACACACACAATCATGCAGACGCGTGTACACACGAGTGAGTGCATGTACACAAACACATAGGCCCTCCCTTGATAACTGAGCTAAAGCCAAGGCTCCAATTGTGATGCCTCTTCCTCATTGAGATAACTCTCACTGCATTATCTCTCCCATCGGGAAACTGCGTCATGATCATCGTCCTTATCATCATCAGCTATTCTACACCATGGTCTCAATCCCCCTCATGTTATCATCCTCATCACTCCATCATCATCAATCAAATCTCTGTCATTGGCATCATCTTCTTTCAACTTCAATGCTACATCATCTTCATCTCTTGCTCATCATCATCTCTTACCCAATACCACCACCATCATCATCACTCCCTCGAGTTGTTTTTCCTCTCCCACCCCCTCTATTCTCTCAACCCCATTACCGCTCCGCACCCACGCAGGTGGGCGTCTTCGACGGCCATGGTGGCTCCACTTGCGCGCAGGCAGTGAGCGAGCGCCTCTTTGGTTACGTGGCGTCGGCGCTGCTGCCCCAGCACACTCTGCTTAACTTGGAGGCGGCCGCTGAGGCCCGCGAGGCCGCACTGCAGGAGGGCGGCTGGGCTCTGCTGAGCTCCGAGCTGGGTCAGGCGCAGGGCCAGGGCCTGGCGTACCTCCCGGCGCCGCCGGAGCTGCTGCGCTGGCACGGCCCGGCACCTGGCGGCACGGCAAGGACGCACTACAGCGAGAGCCTGCGCACGTTCTGGCAGGAGCTTATCGACCTGGACAACGGGGAGGGCCTCGGAGTGCGCGACGCGCTCATCACCGCGTTCAAGGTCTGCGGCGGTGCGACGCGGTGCTGTGTAGTGCGCTGTGGATTCACCCGGTGGCCAGATGCGGACCAAACGTCAGTAGAAACGTAGCGCAAAGCTCGACATGCTCGTCAATAATACTGTGGCTTTAAAAGGAAAAATATGTATGAGGTGATGTTTCGAACAATGTCCTTTCTTTGTAAGTCATAAATAGAGAAGCCAGGGAGATAGAGCGGATATGAGTAAGCAGACAATACGCTCCTTTCCTATGCCTGTCTCTCCACTTAGAAATAAAAGTACAAGAAGGCCGTGTGGCAGTCTTGAGATGCGATCAAATTCAGCTGCTCTATACGTTAAAATTGATTTAATTTAACACGCAGGCTTTCACGACCAATGTTATGATTCAAAACAGATTTTTTGATCAGATTGCAAAAGTGATTGGTTTAGGTGAGTGGTGGTGAACCTATGTCCTGACGACTGCATGGACCTACCACTTCAAAACACTCCTAAACAATATCTCAACCACACTAAACCAGGTACTGGATGGAAACATCTTTGACCTGGCAACACCACTAATTCAAGTGCCAGGCTCATTCACTTCTGTCACTGCAAGGTCCTCTTTGCACTCGGTCGACATGCACCTTGTTTTTCTCATTGTTATTATCATTATTGTTGGATAGTGCCGAGCTGTAAGTGCGTAATTGCGTTGTACGGCGAGCATATTGAAAAGCAACAAGAAACAACGCCGAGCGTTCCTTTATCTGCGATCGCGCGACCTCGTGCATTATACGTCGCTATCGCTCGCCCTCGCCGTGATATCACTTCGGCTCCCGTGTTTACGCAGTGGCCGGGGCCAGTGCCAACAACCACGTGGATGCCAGCCCGTGCCCGTCGCCCAAAACCAACGGGAAAACAGAATGCGGTTCACGTGTTCTCCAGCTCCAAAATAAGAGCTTATTGCAAAGCTGAAACTAAAAATAGCAAAGGGGTGTGTGAACGAGTGGGTACGTATGTGTGTTTGTACGTGCGTGCAGCATGTCCCGTCGGATTAGCCGTGTGCCGTTCTCTGCCAGAACGACCCGAGCTGAGCACAACAGGCGTGCACGCGCGCGTCGCTGGACTCGTTCCACGCTTTCCGCATCATTGCTGGGGTGATGGAGCGAAACAGATGCTCATTAATGAGCTGTGCTCTAGAAATAAATCACTGCCCAACGCAAATTAGTTATCAAGTATCCGTGCCACTGATGGTAGCCAAGGGAGGAAAACGCGCCCTGGAGGATGTACACAGAGGAGATGGAGAGAATGACCGAGCATGTGTGCGGGCGTCAGGTGGATCCTGACATTGCGGGATCGTGAGAGATGGCGAAAGCTTGGCGAGGCCTTCATCCAGCAGTGCACTGATCATGGTTTATGGTGGTGGAAGATTGAGTGAGGCTTTCCTGGATACATAGAGGGCATTATTATGTCAAGAGAGTGGTGGAGGGTGGTGGTACCTGATGTTCACTGCTGTTGAAAGTCGTCTGTATACCTGGGGTGACACCTCAAGGCTTTCCTTAAAAAACACAAATCTTGCAGTTGTTTCTGTGCATCCACATCAGCCGTATGAAAAAAAATGAATGACGGCTGCAGCAATCAAAGAGTTTAGTTTTACTCGTGCACGCTCGATGCGAATCTAACCACTGCCGCCGCGATTGTGCACAGAGACTGGACTCGGATATCTCGCTGGAGGCGCAGGTGCCGTGGGAGCACCCATCGCTGGCACGCAAAGCCCGGCGCACAGCCTTCTCAGGCTGCACGGCGTGCGTGGCGCACGTGCACGGGCCTGACCTCCACGTCGCCAATGTGGGCGATAGCCGCGCCGTGCTGGGCGTGCGCCGCACTGACGGCTCCTGGAGCGCCCTCTCGCTCACCAACGACCACTCGGCGCAGAATGAGAAGGAGGTCGCCAGGTGCGCTGGTCGCCTTGCGCTGACGGTGCCCGGAAGGGGGCATGATGAAGGGGTTCCACGGTGGCGAGATGTTAACTACATCGCCTGGTATACAGGAGGTCGTGGGTTCGATCCCGACCCTGGTGCCTGTATATTTGGAGATTGCATGTCTCTGCCCGTGGTTGCGTGGATTTTTATTCGGGTGCTCTGGTTTTTCCCTCCACATTTAGAAATGTGCATTTAGAGTATTTGGCTGCTATAAATTTCCACATGATAAGCAACTTCGTTGAGCTATCATTTGTGGTCAGGTCGCTTCTGAAACAGAGCTATATAGCTCAGTGGGCCTTACCTGGTAAAATAAAAAAAATAGTTGATTGTTTAATGGCAAAATAAAGAGGAAGAAAACACCTGACGAACGATCTGTGAAATCCGTAGTGTTGTGGTTGTTGTCGTGCCCGGCTCCACGTCTCCGCTCCTACGTAGGCTGCGTGCGGAGCACCCCATGAAGGAGCGCAAGACGGTGGTGCGTGGGGGGCGGCTGCTCGGGCTGCTGATGCCGACGCGTGCGTTCGGCGATGTGAGGTTCAAGTGGAGTGTGGAGCTTCAGCGGCGCGTGCTGGACGAGACGGGCTACGCCGGGCGCCAGTATTTCTTCCCGCCCAACTACCACACGCCGCCGTACCTCACCGCCAAGCCCGAGATCACGCACCATAGGTGAGCGAGCTCAGTTGGAAGTCCACGTAAAGCGATCGCCATCCCCCTTCCTCGAAAGACTTGGCAGGACCCTGATGAAAAAGAGTCTTGAGACTCTTTGAAACAAAAAACTATTTAAGGAACTATTTTTCTTTTACCAGGAAAGGCCCACTGAGCTGTATAGCTCTTTTGGCTTATGTGGAAATTTATAGCAGCCAAATACTCTAAACGCACGTTTCTAAATGTGGAGGGAAAAACCAGAGGACTCGGAGAAAAATCCACGCGACCATAGGGAAAGAGACATGCAAACTCCAAATATACAGGCATCTGGGTTGGGATCGAATCCATGACCTGCTGCATACCAGGTGAGGTAGTTAACATCTCGCCACCGTGGCGATAATAATGATTCTGTTGTTGTTAGTCTGTAACTTTCCACTGTTGAGCAAAGGCCCTCTCATATGTATTGCTACTCCTTTCATTCCCCAGTTGCTCCTGTCCAGACGTGACCTCCGAACTCTGTTATTTGTCTCCACTCCGCTGTTAGTTTCGTCTCTTAGCTCTCGTCATCTGCCCTCATGACATGTGCTGCCCATTCCCACTCGATGTCTTTTGCCGCAACAACAGCTTCTTCATCATCATCATCGGTGTGACGAAGCTGTTATTTTCATTACTTCTTCATGGACCCTAACCTCCCACCCCCCCCCCACCCCAAACATGGAAAGACGGAAAGAAAGATGTGCAATCAGGATCCTGCAGCGAAGGCCTGGTAATAAAATGAGTGTATGTTAGCAGGTCACGTGGTGTCATGTCGTCACCTGTATAGAAGCTAAATATAAAAAATACTACGGGGATGGTAACAAAACAACAATCGATGCTTGAATTGATTGTTGTTTGTCTTGTAATTGATTTATTAAGGGCTGTACAGCAAAATATTTATTTAGTTTAAAAACATTCACACCAATTTAATTGGACTCAACATGTTCATCAATAACACTGTGTGTGTGTGTGTGTGTCCTTTACAAAAATATATAATTGCTGACATTTCGTGCAATGGCCCATCTTTATGTATAAACAGAGAGGTGATAGAGATACAGTGGATACTAAGAGCTGAAGACTGCAACTAAATACCGTGGGCCTGATGAGAATAACATTTTTAAAATGTTTTCCCGATGACCAGTTTTTTAAATTGACAGTTGAAAAGTTACGAGAATTTTTCTTTTTTTGCAATCCAGAGGTGGTCTCCCCATACACCCATAGTCTAAAATGAGTTTAATAACAATTAACTTCTCCATCCACTTGATTTGCCCATTTTCAAGTAGAGCATTTCTGGGCAGTGGCTGGGTGACTTTGAGGTCAGAGGTCAGAGCGCTAATCCAGCACCATTGAGGTCCTGGGTTCGAATACAGGTTTTAGCCACTGCCGGTGATTAAGCCGGGTTCTCATATTTAGTGAATGGATGGTTCTCAGCTCAATCACCAATGACCGCACGCCAAAAATGACATGTAGTTACATTTATCATTGGTAATTTATATCTGTCTTTCCGTAAAGTAACTGATCAATACGTACAGTTGTTGAGTGCTTAATCTTTGTCTAGATCTTGACTTAAAGCTTTTGGGACTGCAGGAATTCATATTCTTTGGGTCTTTTGGTAAAGCCACGTAGATAGGAAAAATAATACAATATCACGACGTTTCGATCGCAACACAAGCAATCATCTTCAGGTGAAAAAAGCGGGGGAAATCTGCCGAGGCAGACTGTTTATAAAGATTTAGAGATGGGCGGGGCAGCTAATGTTCATGTAGGAGAGGTCTCCGTAACATGCAGTAGGTCTACACCAATCAAAGAGCTGTTTACAAATGGTTTAGAGATGGGCGGGGCAGCTAATGCCAATGTGGGGGAGGTACTACGGAGCTGTGGGGGGTGGCCATTGTATTGTGGGAGATTAGCATGTCAATGTAAGAAATTTAAAGCTCGGCGAAAGATCGCACAGCGCAGTGGCCACATGGAGGTGGAAAAGAATGACAAGCCGCCATTTACTAGCACAGCTAACGGTGGCTGTGTTAGTGAATGTAACTCAGAGAGTCGAATATAACTGCTAACATAGGTAGGTAAGATAGGAACATCACAGCCAGTTATGACCTAAACTGGTTAATAACGTCCTTCCAATGGTTGCTCAGTTTGTACCCATCTTCTCAGTTGAAATTGTGTCTGTGTTTATATATCTGGATGGCTTCATGAACGAATCTTTGTTAATAGCCAGTGGGTTTGCAGAGTACCTTCGTCTTGGCAAAATCAATTTCGTGTGTGCCCACAACGTTAAAATAATGATCGGCCACGGCTGAGGTATTGGTCCTACCGTGTTTCAGATCTTCTTTATGTGCACAGACCCGGTCTGAGACATGTCGCTTAGTTTCCCCAATGTAACTGCTGCCAGAAACACAGCTTAGTTTGTAGACGCCGGGGTATTGCATGCCGGGGATCGCATCCTTCACAGAAGGGATCAAATCACGAATTTTATGTATTGTGTTGAATCGTACCTGGATCTTGTGTCGGCTCATGATTTTGGAAATCTTTTTGGTGACCCCTGCTATGTATGGCAAGGTGATGGTTTTGATTGGGTCCTCAGATGGTTCTCTCCCCACGGTTGTGTCTAGATCACAATACTCCAGTAAATTCGAATTACATTCTATTTTCCCCACGTCTTCTCCTCACCCCTCACCCCACCCTCACTTCATTCTCACCTCGCTTTCCCCTCACCATTACCTCACTTCCCCTCCTCTTATCCTTACCTCACCCATATCTCTCTCATGTTACCTTCATTCTCACCTCATTCTATCCTGACCCTCGCTTCACTGTCACCTTGTTGCTAACCTCCCCCACATCCCACCTCAACCCCGACCTTACCGTCACTTTGCCTCCCCACCACCGGCCCTGGTGGCGGCGTGGCGGTGAGCAGGCTGCGCCCGCAGGACGAGTTTGTGGTGCTGGCCACGGACGGCCTGTGGGAGGTGATGCACCGCCAGGAGGTGGTGCGGCTCGTGGGCGAGCACCTGGACCGTGCACCATCGCGCCCCGCACTCCAGCCGTTGCCACGGGGACGCCCCCTCACGCTCGCCGACATGCTTGCCCTGCTGCAGGTACTGACGCGCGCACACGTACCGCGCGCACGACGTACCGCAGCACGGGTACCGTCGTCACACCTGCAAGTACGATGTCGCAAAATCGTCTTGTCCGTGTGGCACTACGCCGTGGTGTAATGTGGCCTACAAGAAGATATCGTTTGCAAAAGACCTCGTTATGAATAAAGTCGGTTTACGACGATGATGATATTATTACAATGTGTCTCAGCTATACAGGGCATGTGGCCGTGCTGGGACAAACCCTGCCACTTGTGCGTCGGATCTTTCAAACGAGGGTATGCTACATGGCTGGCTGGCTGTGACTCCGTTGTGACCCCAGTGTTCCTTGATCCCGGTGTTCCATGACACCCACGTTCGTGACTCTCATTGTCCATGACCCCAGCATTTCGTTCTCCCCCTCACCTGGCCCACAAATGTACAGGCCCGTAAGGCCGCCCTGGCCCCCACGGACGGCTGGGACCGCAACCCGGCGACCTTGCTTGTGCGGCATGCGGTGGGGCGTGGCGAGTGGGGTGGCGTGGAGCCCGACCTGCTGGCGCGCATGCTGGCACTGCCCGAGGACATGGCGCGCCTTCACCGTGACGACATCACGCTCACAGTGCTCCGCATTGACACGCGCGCCGCCGGACGCTACCACCACCACGCCCGCGACGAGGCCGAGGATGACGACGAGGACGACGATCAGATGGGACGTGCTTAGGTGGGGTCCCTGCGACTCAAAATAAAACGTCGTTCGAACTGTGGATTTGTACTCGGGCCACTGGTCCTGGGCTGTCTGGCACGAGTTGGAAGCTCCATTCTGCTGCTCCTATGGTCTGACACCTCCTCCAGCCGTCCGTACTGTCATCTTCTTGCCCCTGTTCGAAGTCCAGGTTTAAGAGCCTTTTTTACTCTGCCTATCACCAACAGCCTCTGTATAAACAAAATATATACACACACTGCTTCTGTACAGTGTTTTGATTCATAGACGAAATATAAATAATACACATTGTACATTTGATCTGTGAGAGATGAAGTCGCACAATTGTAATTTTAGCACTTTAGTGGCATCACTCTGAAGTCCCTCCCATTTCAGCGCATCAATCAAACGATTATTGCAGCACGACAATGCTGTTGCCTGACCATAACTTTTGGAGACGTTTTTATCTTGTGAACAAAACGTCAAAACTGTGTCTGACAGCCCAGGACACACAGCCTAGGTACGGCTCTACAATCTCCATTTATTTTACTGCGTCGTCCGCGATCATGCACACGCACACTCCGTTGGGGTGGTTGCACAAGTGGGTAACTGACGATTTCAGAACAAAGCCAGGAGCGGAGCTGGCGGCTGGTAGTAGTGGTGCAAAGCGCAACCATGGGTGACCCAGCGATGGCAGCACTGCTACTGCCACCATGCACGGCCAACGTCAGTGCACATCGTTAAGGAAAACTAAACCCCCGTGCGCGCCGGTCTGTGACAATGCCGCAAATGAGAGAGTTTTAAAGCGCACAGACCCGAAGAACGTTTATCGATGAACGACAGATGTTGCACTGAGCGCAACTGTCTGTAACGTCACGCAACTGTCTGTAACGTCACTTTGCCTTTTTAGAGGTGTTCTGGAGTTTGTGTTTGATATTTTAGCGAGTTTTGTGTATCGTAAGTGGCACCTGTAAAGCAAAAAGGGAATCGCAATGACGACTTCTAAAATGCTGCCGTTTAACACACAACAATGTCACAATTGCTCGAATGTATCCAAATGAAACTTTTTTAAGCACGTATTTTTCGGTAGTGGGTTTGCAGACTTTCGTTTGAAAATGTTTGCGCAGCGTCAGACTGAATGAAGATACACGGCAGCGGGATGCAAGCCACGTCGCGCTCTGCGGTTATTCATATTTAAAGTGGCCGCACAAACTTTACTATGAAGACAGTTTGGAATCTCATATTTATTTTTGTCATTTGGATGTGGATTTGTGTAAAGGTTGGCGATGCTTATAAAATGACGATGGACTGTTTTACTTGTCTGATGCATCCTCGTTTTTTCTGCAGTTTATAAAGTAATTCTAGATTTGAAGCTTTCGTGACTGCAAGGATTCATATTCTTAGGTTTTTGTGACTTTATAATTGCAATCCGTGGTGCGTGAGCACAGCAGCAAAGATAAAAAAGCATCAATAGTGCAGAAAATTACTACAGAGTCCTGAAGGAATATTGTACAGTGAACAAACGAGGTATTTAATGGTCGTAATTCGGAACACGCGGATAAACAAACAGTGCAAATGTAATATGAGAGCAAGAGGCACGAGAAAATGCAGGTAAGAGGTGCAAATATGCTCCGTGTTTTAATTTAATAGGGAAATAAAGTTAACTTTGTGCACCCAACGATTTTGTGGATGGTATTTGGAACCGTTGAGTTTCCCTACGGCGGTGAATCTTCGTGTGGAGTTTGGAAAGGTCTGCGTCAGCAATACAATGGCTTGAGAATGCTGCACAGTATATTGAAGGAGAGTGAGACTTACAATACAAATTTTCACCCAAAAAAATCAACACGCGAATCTCTCGTTTATGGCCAAAAATGCCAATTGTTTAAAACTTAATTTTTCAATAAATATGGAATTCTCACAATCGTTTTTATTCGGGCTGGATGGTTGCCCAATGGTAACAATCGTACCTCAGGAAATAAATGTTCATAGTTTAATTCCCAACTTGGGTTCCTTCCGTGTGGAGTTTGCACGCCCCCTGTTCTGCATGGGTTTTCCTCCCGAGTTTTACGGGTTTCTGCCACAGGTAAACAAAACAAACATGCAATGTAATTGGTATTGGCCAAACATCCCATTGCTGGAAAAAATTATCTGCAAATTACTCAATTGAGATGACACGAATAGCAGCATTGCCCCGCCTCACTGCGAACACTTGGCAGAGCCGTTCCTGAAAAAAAACCTCGAGACACCGGTGAAGATTTCCAGGTGGAACGAGGTAGTCGTGTCTCGCAGCCGTCGTGCTGACAGAGTTCCCGGGAGAAGCACTTTTTTCCAGTGTTTCAACGAAGTTGGGCCACTGTGGAAAACACTTGTTTGACTCGTACCATCCCAAATTCCTACATGGGGATGCCTTTATCATTGCAATGACTTAATTGGGAAAGCATCCAGGATGCTGACTCTAAAGCCACGTTCTCGGTGTTTTTTAACGGATGTGCAATGCGCGCAATCTCGTGTGTGGAGCGGCTCTTGGAGGATGCCTGCTCGGGAAAGCATCACGTGTGTGTGTGTCTGGAAAGGGTCCGAGAATTGACGCAAGTTTTATCGTGCACATATGTAGCACTTGGGTGGAGGGGTGGCCATGTGTAATAGGCGGATGTCGTTATGTTCATGGCAATTCGTGTCAACCTGTGACGACGGGGAGGGGGTGGGGGCATTTCTCCAAAGGTGGTTCTTAATTATAACGGTGTGTTGGTTGGCTGGGAAATTCGAGCTCTTATTAAACTTGAATGAAGATTTACATTTACTTGGCCTTCAATACTGCAACTGAATAGACATTGTAACATTTGCATAGATGGTATTGCGAATTAATAGTATTTTTTATCGCCATATGTACATCATACTTGTAAACCCCTTATCAGTGTCTACCTTATTGCAGACCAATTCAGACCTTATTGGTCACTCCGTGCCCTCAACGTTCATCTTTCAAAGTCCCATCACAAGGGAGAAACACAAACAAATAAAATAAAAAATGTGCCCGTTTTGAAACGGCACTTTTATAAATTTATTTTCATTACATTTCGATTTAAAGCTTTCGTGACTGCAGGGATTCATCTTCTTGGTTCTTTCGGTAAAGTCACGTAGAAGGGAAGTAATAAAATAATAAAAATAAAACATAATAAAATAAAATAATTCTCACGACGTTTCGGCTACAACGCAAGCAGCCGTCTTCAGGTGAAGAATGAGACAATGCCAAGCTAGGAGCTTATATATAAGCTGCGTTGGAGGTGGAAGAAAGAGCGCCTTAACAAAAGAATGTGCATATGAAGAGGAATTTAGCATATTCATGGAAAATGCGTAGGAGGTGGGCGGGGGGGTTTCAAAGTCATATTATGCCCCATGCATTATGCAGGATCAACAGCACCAAGGGGGGGGTGCAGGGATTAGCAGTAACAAAGGAAAGGAATGTTAATGACATGTAGCTGCAGTTACTCAACAACCACGTAGAAAACTAAAGTATAAACTACATTAAAAACTAAAGTATAAATAGCATAGCACCATCAGTATACTTACTATACTCTACACTAAGCTGAGTTACTAACAGCAAGTAATACATTACAATTCTACGTCGTAAAAATTATATAATATGCTTCCATCTAAACTTTATTCTATTGCATCACACGAGCATATACCGTACTATATACTGCCAACATTAAATTATATACTGTATTGCTGTAAACCAACCTATATCTTATACATTTAATATAACACTATGTATTATTCTACCCACCCTAATGTGTGTCGAAATGGTTTATTACGTCCTTCCAATGATTGCTAAGCCAGAATCCATCTTCTCGGTTCGTTCATGAGGCGATCCACATATACAAACACAGAGACAATTTTAACCGAGAAGATGGATTCTGGCTTAGCAATCATTGGAAGGACGTAATAAACCATTTCGACACACATTAGGGTGGGTAGAATAATACATAGTGTTATATTAAATGTATAAGATATAGGTTGGTTTACAGCAATACAGTATATAATTTAATGTTGGCAGTATATAGTACGGTATATGCTCGTGTGATGCAATAGAATAAAGTTTAGATGGAAGCATATTATATAATTTTTACGACGTAGAATTGTAATGTATTACTTGCTGTTAGTAACTCAGCTTAGTGTAGAGTATAGTAAGTATACTGATGGTGCTATGCTATTTATACTTTAGTTTTTTATGTAGTTTATACTTTAGTTTTCTACGTGGTTGTTGAGTAACTGCAGCTACATGTCATTAACATTCCTTTCCTTTGTTACTGCTAATCCCTGCACCCCCCCCTTGGTGCTGTTGATCCTGCATAATGCATGGGCATAATATGACTTTGAAACCCCCCCGCCCACCTCCTACGCATTCGCCATGAATATGCTAAATTCCTCTTCATATGCACATTCTTTTGTTAAGGCGCTCTTTCTTCCACCTCCAACGCAGCTTATATATAAGCTCCTAGCTTGGCATTGTCTCATTCTTCACCTGAAGACGGCTGCTTGCGTTGTAGCCGAAACGTCGTGAGAATTATTTTATTTTATTATGTTTTATTTTTATTATTTATTATTTTCATTAGTTTACAATTAAGATTTAAAATTAATTAACGACATGCACCCGCGATGCTTAACGAATCCATGCCCCCCCCCCGCCCCACACAAATATAGAAGTCAAACTCCACCCATGCTCTTGCCCCACCTAATCTCGCTTCGCTCAAATCTTCCTCTGACCCATCCCGTCCTCACCGCTCCCAATCTCTAGTGCCCACTTCTCTGCCTTCCCTCACCTTGCGCCCAGTCTCGCTCGCTCGTTCCTGTTCCCTTCTCGTTCCCCATTCACTGAACAAACTCCCACTGCAGCACAGAAAACAATCAACTTCACAATAACCCATCTCGTCTCCCGAGCCCATCCTGCTACTACTTTACCCCCTGCCGCCCAGCTCCGACCAGCCCTACCCCTATCACTACACATATCGATGCCCCTAATGCAGTAGCGTAACTACATTATCAGCTCAGGGGGTGCAGCAGTCGGTCGCACATTCGCACCCAGACTATTATATACCGCGGCTCCGCTTGTCTCATCACATTATTACGCTCACGGTCTCAAACATTTAATGCTGTCGGGGTGCTCCGTTTTCGCAAAATGCAACCACTACAGCTCCCTAGTACTTCTTTGCAATATTACTAAACTGCTTTAATGAAATTAAAATGAAACGTGGAACCGAAATGAAAGCATTTTCATTAAAACAATAACTTGAAACCGCGTTTTAAATAAGTTTGTTCTTTTACACTGTTGTGGAAAACATATCTCACTAGCCTTTTGCCCGTCTAAGGACGGGTGTATTGCAGTAAATCTGAAACTTGCAAGTGAAAAGCAGACCGGCGACGTGATATTCATTGCATTAATGCGTGTGCAATTTGTAAGGGCGCGGTGACACAGACTTATTTCATTTGAAGGTGATAATCCCTTGTTCATCACGACGTCCTTTTTACTTCTATGTCTCAACAGCGTTACAGAGATTGCTGACTTGAGGGTTCTGTCTTTGTCGTGAGGGTTGTGAGTTGACGCCGAGGGGGGAGGAGGCGCCTCGCCCCCCCCCCCCCATGTGGAGTGACGTCATCCGCTAATTATTAATGAGGGGGTGTCTATTTGGAGGACGTCACCTTATAATGATTATTAATGACGGGGGCTGTTCGATATGGAGTTACGTCACATGCTCATGATTATTAATGAGGGGGGGGGGTCCATTTGGAGGATATCACCTAGTTCATGATTATTAATGAGGGGGGCTGTTCGATGTGGAGTTACATCACATGCTCATGATTATCAATGAGGGGGGGGGTCCATTTGGAGGATATCACCTGTTCATGATTATTAATGAGGGGGGCTGGCCGACGTGGAGTAAACTCAACGTTTAACCTACACACTACAATATACACGACACGATACACTACACTTATACAGGTAGGAACAACAGGTTCCACACTGCCCACCAGGGATTATTTGTCTGTCTGTCGTGCACGAATGCGCTGTCCAACCAAGTTCCTATCTGCCCACTCCGAAAGAACGTGTTAATAGTCTGCACTATTTATCTCAACCACTTTGCATCATATGTACATTTAAAAATCATTGATGCAAAGCACCTTGGATAAAGGAACGATACAAATCTAGATACGACAGTCTACATTCTTGGTTGGTTTGTGTTTATTTTAGCTGGGCGAGGGGTTGAGAGCTCCGGCGCGCGAGCATGACCGCGTCTAGGTAGTTCAGGGCATTTGTGGCCAACCAGGCAGCCACCTCCCTGGAACTTGGCCGCCCTTTGAGCTTTATTTTGGTGATTTCGAAAACGTTTTGGTTTAGCCATGTTTTGTTTGTTGTAGTAGAGTTAGACTGATAACTTCAATCTAAATTGTCTGATGGTTATTGTTTGACTTGCATCCCACTGGGAATTTTGCACACAGCGTTGATACACGGTGCTTTTTCTGGAAGACTTTGCTGTTTTTTCCTGGATTTTTCTGTTTGCGCGTAGTCACTTTAAGATGTTTCTTGTTCATGTTTTTGTTTGTTGCGGTTTCACCCGATTCAAGAGCTGAATGGCTCACAGGGCTATACCTAATACATGAAACTGGGCTACTCCAGGTAGCTTATAGACTGTCTCAGGGGTGCACCTCTACTCATGGCACCCACTCGTCAAATACACACGTACAAAGCTGGCTGGAAGCTGGCTGCCGATCTGTAAGGGTGCAGAGACCATAGGTAGGGTTTTATGGGAGTCAGACTGCAATGTACATTGCACAAGCGTGATTGTGAAGGTGTGGCAGGGTGAATACTTCACATATTTAGGATTTTTCATGTGTTCACTTATCAACGTATTTTTAGGTCACATTGTTGAAATGTCATTTAAGTATTAAATGTCTCCATAATACAGGTTTTTATATACATTTTCTATAGTATTTTGAACTTAGTATGTTAAAGTCGTAATTTTCTATTTCCTTAACCCATTAAAAAAAATCATATCTTTTTTGGTTAATACCAACGTTAATCCGAAAGTTTTTTTTTTAAACGCATTTTTAAGGCGTGCCATGCAGACCACTAAAATGTTGCACATCCTGAAACTGACGCTATAATGCACGTGATTCAAGCCCCGTCGCATTCTGCGCGTTCACATTTGTTGTTGAAAAAGGTCTACATTTTACTTGGGTGTGGATTTGTGTCAATGTTGACGATGCTTATTCCCTTTAACTTTTTGCACCAAACAATTCAGAATATGGTGTACTTAAGACGTATTGGTTTCCTTTTGCCGGTTATGTCTGGAGGTGCTGTAGCATAGGTCTGGTGTGCAGGAGTTCCAATCTCCACGAAAGCAGTCTACGAGGAACAACTTTCGAAGAATGTGTTTATTTGAAACCATCTCTTTACAAACTTTAAACATTTTGAAAAAAATTACCAGCGATTACAGTGTAGGATTCCTGACAAAATAACACAAAACATAGCAAACAAAGGCTTGAGAGCTCACAGAGCCACACACCCCCAACTTTATACAAGATTATTTTTTTAACAAAGCAGATGGCGATAATTACTGGAACAGCCACCAATGACAGGAGGTATCACTGAAATATTTACCGAAAATGCTTAAAAAAACATTAATTCAAAAAGCTACAGAGTTAAACCATTCAAACACCAAATTGTGTGGAACTTTCACACCAAGGCAAGCACCGTCGGTGACTTGGCCTACGTCTGTATGTTATGTAATTATTATTATTTTCGGTTCTAAAAGTCAGGAATACCACAGCTGCTATTGGAGGGTTGTAAGTACAAGCCAACGAGGTCACCGCCCCGGGCCCCCACGCGGCTCCGTGTGGAATGTCTCTCTCCTCCAGGACGTTGTCGCCATTTCTCGTTGCCTGCCCCCCCTCAAATGCCTTGAGAGCTGCATACGCAAGCGGACACAGGGAGACGGCGGCAGTCAAGCAGGGCTGAAGCCCGCGCGTACATGCACGACGCGCCGGAGCTACAAATGGTCAATCTCTATCTCCGGTGTAAAAATAGCATGGGCTGTGGGTTTGTTGATGCTGCAGTTTCGTTTGCGAGCACCGCTGCGGAGAGAGGGGAGGGGACAAAGGGGATGGCGGTGTGGCGCAGTCACCTCCTGACGGGAAACAGCAGCTGGGTTGCCATGGTCGAGTCCGGGAAGAGGTTGTGGTAGGTTGGAACCGGCACAAAAGCCGCGGTGATCATTTTCCCTGCAAGGCAACGAGTGGGCCACATGCCGGTGGAATGAGTCAACAATCACTCCAGGAAAAATAACAAATGGCTGGAAATGTTTGGATTGGTTGATTGAAACGGGTTCTTATTGCTCACCATACGTGTGTTGGATTGTGAACCTAAGGCTAGATTAAACAAAAAGAGCATTTAGGTAATTCACCCATCCACAGTGGATAATTGGTGACATGCCTCCAACCACCATGAACACAAAGCAGTGGCAACGCGATTGTGTCACTTTGCAGAGAAATTCAGGTTCTCTGAGCTGCAGGACAGTCTGATTCAGAATATTTATACTGGAGGAATCCGAGGAGCTATAAAGCTATTTTTCACATATATCCAGTAGTTTCACTGATATCCAGTAGATTAAGAACTGTACAAATATTATTGTAACGAAGCACATCGATTCGCGAAGGTTAAGACTACTTTTCACAAGGGCCTTGTTTTGGTTTGTATAACCAATGCTTTTAGTTTTTTATAATCGGTTTTTTGTTTAGCGTGAGGGGAAACCAGCATATGCACAAATAATCCAACTAACCACTGCTGCAAAAGCAGTATATTCTCAGGTGCCCACCACCACATACGCCTCCATTATCATGAGTGTGGCGTCACAGGGGGTTAAACACAAGGCAGGACTCACCAGCGAACCACCGTCCGTGCAGGGCGTTGACGGTGGCGATGGCGGACGCGACTGAGGAACACTTCACGTACACGTTACCCTGCGCACATGTCATGGCCGGAGAAGCATCAGCATTAGAGCCGCCGGGACAACTAAGCTGACCACCAACGCGACGGTGCACCATGCACTACCCTCCCGCCAGCAAATGGACTTGACTCCCTCTTCTCTTTTACAGGTGTGTTGCTTCAGTCACTCGCACACTTTTGTTCAAAGTAATTATACAATCCAACCTGTTCTGTGTCTCCCTCTACTTTTATTTTTGTGTACTCAAGTATAGATTGCCAAACCAATTCAGCTGTCAGCTTACAGCAAACCACGCCACGCTTACCTGGGGGGAGTTCTTATCAACGAAGATGTGCACTAGGCCACCGTGCTTCATGCACTCCGTGATGACGTCATCGCGGATGTCCTGATCCCAGGTGTGCGACTGTTCGCTGTTGTACAAACACACACACACGCGAGGTCTCACACTCCTCCCACCTATTTCATGGAAGATATATTCTCTAGTAGTGGTTCTGAACTTTTTCTGGCTACTATATCTCTTGTTGAATTTTATTTCAACAGCGTACCCCCCCTCCTTGCCTGACCTAACATGGTTCTGAGAAATAAATGTACGAAGAATGAACATTTGAACCAATTGTCCATTTTGTGAGGTATATCCTAACTAGCTGGTAACTGCAAGCGAATAAAAACAAATTCAACAAACGCTCTAAATGCATGACGTAGTGTGTTCGCACTCGTTGGTTACTCTTGTAAACCACACTGTTTACGAGTTTAGAAAGATCTTTAATATCCTCGGTTACCATTGTAGTTATTTTATTATTGCCCGATTCATGCATGATTATTCACGAATGACCCATGTATGATATAATTTCACACCTTTATAAATCACCTCACATACCTCCTGGGGACATTGCCACGTACCCTCACGGGTCTGCGTACCCCCAGTTGAGAACCACTGCTCAAGTACAAAGTGTGCGGGGGGGGGGTCACCAAAGGGTTACCCTCACCTCTCTGGAGAGAACATGTTCGACAGCTGGATACACTGTGTGGCGATGGAAGGCGGCGCAGCGTTGTTCAGCACTGTGAATAGACAAGGGCACCGAGTCACAATGTGCGTGTTCGTCCGTCAAAATCTCAAGGCAATCAATACTGCCTTAAGATGGGAGTCCTATAAACAGATGGCAAAACTTACCCGGCATCACGGGGTTCGTAGTGCCCAGACCAAAGCCCCCAGTCATCTGCAGCGCTTGCTGGGCCGCCAGTGGAATCTGCAGCCCCGTGCCTGCATCAAAGAGCGAGATATAGAAACTCAAACGAGCACCACGTGTCTGCCTCTTCCCCGGCATCCTCGACCATGGCGACAAAACTGTGAAGGGAGGGGGCGAGTGAAGAGCGCTTGCGTACCCTCGGCCAGTTTGGCCATGAGGTGCAGGCGTCCTGTGCTGCCCAGGTCGATGCCCGTGCGCTCCAGCTCGTCGTTATCGAGGAATGAGCTGGCGCCCGAGCCGTCCGAGCGCTCCGTGACGTGGCCAACCTTCATGGGTCGCCCCGCCAGCTCGAAACCGTTGAGCTGCTCCAGTGCCTTGCGTGCGCACTCCGCGTCCGCAAACTGGCACAAGCGCAGAAAAAACAAAGAATAAAGCTCCAGATCGAACAGGATGGAGGGGGAGCTTGGGCCCCAAGGTACTTGCAAATAGCCAGAGAAATAATGAACCCTTGCAATTTGGCACAAAGCAGAACATTTAAAAAAATCAATTTGGGAATATAAATTGGTTAAACAGCCGAATGCAAAGTTCACAGCACTGCCTGATGTTACACAGCATTCGGAATGGCAATGGCTCTCATGTGACGTATACAAGTTCCACACATCCACACAGACCAATGATCCGCTCTTTAGTGCGTGCTCACCGTGACAAAGCCGTAGCCCCTAGACCGGCCCGTGTCGCTGTCCATCATCAGCTGGCAGTTCTCGATCTGCATACAAGAGCACAGAGTATGCCTTCGAGTTAGGGAAAAGCATGCCAAAGTGGACCCCACAGAGCTACGTTTAAATTTCATTCAAGTGAACTATGGTCACAACACAGCACTTTCCCATCCATGCTACCACCAAGAGTATCGTTAGTCTCATCATTCCAGAACGGCTGCTGCACCTTGCCGAAGGGCTCGAAGATGCCCTTGAGCATGTCCTCGGTGATGTTGAAGTGTAGTGAGCCCACATAGAGACGCATTGGCCCGGCGGTACTCTTCTGCATTGTTGCTGCAGCAGCCGCCGCTGCAGCAGCTCTGTTCTTCTCAGCCTGCAGAGTCAAGAAGACATGTGCGTTGAGGCCAACGCACCATCACCAATGATCACAGCACCACCCAATGCTGCCAAGCAAACACTGCATGAATACAGCCAAATATTGTTCATAAAATGCTATTTGGCGTCTCACAAGAAGGGCGTAATTTCTCACTGAATATTTCTAGCGCCGCCATCACCACCACCACTGCCACCAGTGGTGATGAGGGGAGGTGTGGTAACGGTTATGAGGGCCAGGCTGACTTAGGAAGTGTGGCAAAAGGGTGCAGGCTGACCTGGGAGGCCTGGACGATGATGGGCACACCAAGGAGACGCTGACCCGTCAGCCCAATGGCCAGAGACACCGAGTCCACTTCCACAAACTCGATGTAGGCGATGCCCTTGGAGCGCCGGGAATTCCGATCTGAGATCATGCGCACGTCGCGCACCTGTCGAAGGGAAAGTCACGATTCCTCGTCACACGCTGGCCAGAAGAACTAGCAGTCTGCAGTGCGAGCACGAGCATTGTTGGTGTGCAGAGCAACTGTCGTGCATGTCAAGAGGGCTGAACTTCTTTCACACCGTACGGAGCCAACCCTGCTCATGAAAAGTGCATCAAATAGCTTGCCAAATACAAATTACATTTATAAATGATCCAAAGTAAATTAGTAAGGTTTGTCACAAACAAAACGTGCCAATTAGTTACTACTTCAGCACACTGGTGTGTTAAAAAGTACAATTCGAGTAAGAGGTTTTTGCTGGTCAAGACAACTAGCTTCATGAGGCAATCGCCAGAAGTGTGAAGAAAGTCCTCCTGTTTCGGTCTTAAATAGAGGGGTAAAGGTGATGTCAATCACTCTGGGCCTATCAGGTGCGAAGACCGGGGGGGGGGGGGTAATGTAATCATATACGTTATAATGGACCATGTTAATCTGAGAAAATGCAGGACCTATTTTTATTCAACTAATCTGCTGCTTTTCACTGTCGAGTAGGTAAAGTGTGCTGGGGGACATCGGCAGAGTTCACGCAGTGCGGGCATGAGCCCGCAAGTCCTCCATGCCACCCTCACCTTGCCCACGGCGGAGAAGAACTCCTCAAGGTCCCGGGGTCGGATTCGTGCTGCCAGCTGCATGCAGAACACCGTGCGTGCATCGCGTTCCTCGGGAGTCAGGTTATCGATGGGGGCCCTGAAGACGCGCATGCACATGAATGCACGAGCGCGCACACAGTCGACAAACAGGCGTGGCATTATGGTGACGCTGTCACACCCCTCACTTACGAGTCAAACCAAACTCCTCTTGCCTAAACCGTGAGGGGCATGAAATCACTCCTCTGCATGACTACAGTGAGGCTCGGAGTGCTTATATAGTTTTCCCCCATACTTATTCTATTACAAATATGTTACGAGCCAAATACATTTAAAACCCATAATTTTTATATAGAGCAATGTAATATGATCCTGCTTAGAAAAATTACCACTGAAAATGTATGTCAGAGGACTACTTGATATACCTGCCCTTCAATACTATGATGCACCTTCCCATGCGTCTTTCTAGAAGCTGTCGTTGGGAAACTAAAGATGTTTTCAAGGACAATATTCGAAACGTCACCTATCAAATATTTTTCCTTTTAAGGCAGTGTTATGAATTAATGTTTGGATTTTTAAAAATATATTTCTGTTGTTTGTGTGAACCGAAAACTAATTTATTGAGAACAAATTTTTGCGTTTAGTTTGTGGTTCCCCCACACCCTCCAATGAGCATGGTTGAGTACATATGGTGCGAAAGAACTTCAACATACATAAGGCTGAATCACCAAAATTGCACCCAAGATCTGAGGATTTATCTCCAGGTCCTCCAGTTTTCCCTCCTCATTTAGAAGCATTCGTTTCAGAGTATCTGGCTGCTATACATTTCCAGATGCCACTTAGTTGAACTATCATTTGTGGCCAGGCCACTTCTGAAAAAGTGCTCTACAGCTCAGTGGGTCTTACCTGGTAAAATAAAAGTTTTAGTTTAGTTTACCAGTGTCAGCTCAAGTGAGCTTCATTTTCCTCCTGGCACACCAGGGGGCAGCACATTGCAGTTACGGTAATACCTCAATATGAGAATATTCGAAAAACGACGTTTCAGTGCAATTAACTTTGGGATATATGACCATTAATGGGAGAAAAAACTCAAGTAAAATAATACACTGCAATGAACATTATAAGATACATTTGTTGAGCGTTGCGATGGGTCCCTGAATGATTTACATTCGTCTCGGCTAATCAGCACGCAGAAATGTACTATTTTACAGAGCTGTGGTGTTTGGTGGGAAATGCAACTAACGACTACACTGGTGAGTGAATGTGTCTCACAGTACACTTTCTTTTATTTGTTAGTTTTTTTATTTTAATATTGTACTGTATAAAACAATATTTTCAATAGAAGATAGCTTTCCATTTTTACTTAAAACTTTCGTGACTGCAGGAATTAATATTCTTTGGTTCTTTTGGTAAAATCGCGTAGGTAGAAAAATAATAAAAAATAAATTGAATAAAAATGATACAAAAAAAACCCATTAATGTAGACTGTAGCCTGGTTCTTAATCGGAGTGTACTGGCAGTCTATAATATAGACTGTAGTAATGGTTATTAAGCTGGGTGGAGTGTATTGGCATTCTATAATGTAGACTGTAGCAATGATTATTAAACTGAGTGAGCGTACTGGCAGTCGAAAATGTAGATTGTAAGAACCAGGTTAAGAACCAGGCTACAGTCTACATTATAGACTGCCAGTACACTCACCCAGCTTTATAACCATTGTTTACACAGTCTGCATTCATGTTTTTTAGTTTATTCTTTTATTTTTCTCATTTTTATTCACTTTATTCTTCTCATTTTTCTATCTACGTGACTTTACCGAAAGAATCAAAGTATATAAGTTATCTTTAGTTTAAAATATGAATGGAAAGTTATTAAAGTGTTTATAGTATGACGCGGTAGGTTACGAAGGCTGGAAACGCACCCTCAGTAGTGTTATTTCAATCAACGACGTTTCAACATACGATCGAACCTCCAGGAACGCATCTACTTCGTATATCGAGGTATTACTGTACTCTAGAAATGGGCAGGTACTTTGGGTGGTTGTGGGCCAGAGGCATGCCGTGCCCACCCCACTGTTAAAAAATGTAACTCTTGGTCGGGATGGCGCTTTTTATGAATTATTGGGGGGGGGGTTTCGCGGCACAACACGAGACAGCCGACGGTTTGTGGTACTCCACCTAGTAGGGTGTGGGGGCCGCTCCTCGTGGGTCGCTGCATGGCCCATGGCAGCAGTGTTAGACCTAGCGCATGTGGGTTCGAGACAAGTGCACACAGACACGGCGGCAGCCGTCAATGGCTCTCCACACAAGAGGGCCTTCCGCACGCAACACACACACGCACAGGCAACAGAGTGGGGGGACACGGGCAGAGGGAATACTGGTAGGCAGATATGCCGGGGAGACACAGGCAGAGAGGGTAGTGGGAAATAGGCGACGACAAGGCAGAGGACAGGGATGGTGCAAGAGCAGACCCACGTCCCTACTTCACTTACCTGATGGGGCTCTTCCTCCGTGGGCTTTTACTCTTGCTGCGGCCACTGCGGCGACTTGGCGAGGTTAAAACAGTATTGATATGCGGACACACAACAGACACAAAGCGACGATTAGAAACTCGGTCAGGAGAATCAATATAAATAACATTCATCATCATTTTGGGTGGCAGGGTGGCGCAATTGTAACACTTGTGCCTCACAGCAAGAAGGGTATGGGTTCGATACCCGACCCAGGCACCTTTCTGTGTGGAGTTTGAATGTTCTCCCTTGGTTTGCATGGGTTTCCTCCGGGTTCTCCGGTTTCCTTCCATAGCTAAAAAATACATACAATGTAACTGGTATTGGCCCAACATCCAAATGGTAAAAAATAATTACCTGCGAATTGCCCAATTTAAGGACTGCACATCGCAACGTCATCCCCTACTGCGAAAACTTGGTAGGACCCTCCGGACAGCCAGCTGAATGGGTCACTCCTGGGTAAGCGAGCGTAATTAATAACATTAACATTTATAAGCTATAAATTGGGTAAACTTGACATTCATGGCCCGTTCATAATGGCCTTTTTGTTAAAAAACAAATGTCAACTGGGGGGATAACCCCACCATCCCTGAATTTTGCACAGGATTAAGGATAACACTATACAATAAGTGTGCTTGTGGGTTGCTTAGAGACGCACACTTTATCATGAATCGCTAGCCGCATCCTACATCTGTTTTTTTCAGACATGCTGCGCACCAGAGGGCAGTGTGTGGCGGTGGGAGGGGAGGTGCGACGAAGTGGCAGAACGTACAAACTGGGGCTCCTGAATTTGCCGTGGTCCCCACTGCCGCCCCCGTGCCGGTGGCCCCGGCTCCGGGAGCGGCTTCGCCGCCGCCCGTGACTCCGGCTTCGCCCCTCGCGATTCCGGCCGGGTTTACCATCGCGCCGGTCGCGACTGCGACTACGACGCTTGTCTCGGCTCCTGCTGAAACGAGACGGAGACGCATGCACACACACTCACGTGTCCATGTCATGTGTACCCCGTGACATGAGCAGCTGACAGTTGTTTAGCTTTGATCACCAAGGTTGTGAAGCAAAGGGCCAAAAACTCGAAGCTACTAGCAACAAACAACACTATTGAAGGTGTAATGAGTTAATACGTTTCTTGAATTGAGTGTGGTTTAGCAGCGGATCCAAGCTAATTGGGAGGGGATGTTGGGGGAAATTGCACCTCCAGTAAACAGCCCAGAAAATGTACATTTACCAGAAAATGTACAATTAATATTGGAGAAATTCATATATGCGCCTCTGGTACGATTGTAAGAACGTGGGAAAAGAGAATGGGAGGCAATTCTGCATTAAGCAGTGCGAGGTAAGAAGCCAAATTGTCTGGGTTGGGATTTAACTCAACGATTGATCAAGCTGTTCACGTAACACGATCAAAAATAACTGCATTTTTGAATCGCTGTTAACGCTCGATTAGCCATGGGTTGCAGATTGACGAAGGGGCTGTAAATTAACCATTATATTTATTTAACAACGATCTACCTCCTCTTTCGCTCTCTGCTTCTGCTGCGGCTCCGCTTTCTGAAAACAGAAAAGAGAGCCGCAAGGAATGACAATGAAAACGCTCTATTCCTCATTGAAGTAACGTATTAAATTCAGTCAGTTAATTGTTTTTACGGGCACGCACGCACATACCACAGCAATTGTAAAATATAAAAATGTGATCTCTGATTGTGTGCTGAGCAATGTGAAATTGTAGCAATGTAGTGTGTTCAAAGTTTAAAATGCTGGGTCTTAATCAGTGTCAGCAATTGTAGCCACACATCACAACACAGAGGCATTGTACCCGGACAACCCCTAGACCACATACCTTTTTCTTGGGGAACGGTAATCAAGGGAAAGCCATTACATCATTTAGCGACACCTAATTACAACGAACATTGGTTATCAAGAGGCCAGACGTACACACTTTACAAAAACAAACATCTATAATGTTTTTTTAAAGCCGCGGTTAACAAGTATACTTTTTAGATATTTTAACAAACACACCAAATGTGCTCACTAAGTCTTGCAAGACAAAATCTTAGCAAGAAAGAAGCATACAGCACAACATCTCAATGCAAAAAGAGGTAGGAACTCACTTTTTGGATTTTTCTCCAGAAGAGTGAATGGCAGAGCTCTTTTTCTCTTCCTATGCAGGTCGACATAACAGCGGCATAACGTTGCGTTCACATCAATCAACAGGGACGGGGTAACACGCAGTGAGAGCACAAAGAGGGGGGACATGTATGGTCAGTGTCACGAAAAACTGTACTGCGGTGCATTTACGCACGCCGAGGTAGCTGAAGGGCACATCGCTAGCCGCCGCAGCCGCAACCTTGTCCGCCGCGCTTACATTCTGCCGAGACAAACAGTAATGCAATAGCGGACACGGGTGGGCACAACGATGAGCCGAAATCATGCGCAGGGGACTGGCCCCCCCGAGGGTGACAGTTAAAATATAAATCGATATCTTTATGGGAACTTAAAAAACAGGGCCAGTTTGTCCAAAAATGTGCTGGTGAAATTTAAATAAAAATTTACGCGGCAATTCGGCTTTTCAATTACACAATTCAAATGTCGCTTAATGAGCATCGTAGCACTAAACGAGCCACGTACGGTACCGTACAATTATTCCACATTCCACACACACACCCACACTTCAAGTGATGTTCCAAACTTGAGGTCAAAGAAACTTCCATTTTCTGCAATCTACTCACCTGGAAACCCGAAACAAAAGGGGGCACATTAAGAATTGCAGTTCCGAAAAGACCCTCCAGCTATTTCTTGAACTTACATTAGCACCCTGCAAAATTCACAACTTTCTTTTACACGTCTCACGCATTTCAGGACATTTAAAAAAAATCTAATGTAAAACCCGAAAAGTCTACCATACAGATGTGTAACAGGGGGAAGTTCTAAATCCGTTCATAAGTAATGCGCATGAAAACTGCAATTGTGCATATCAAAAGTATTTGTTTGAGGGCACATACCTTGGCAATGGCAGGTCAAATCCTGCACAATAACCATTCCAGTCTTGTACCGCTTAGCGTAACTCTGGGATGGCTTAGGCATCTAGGAAGAGTGAATTGCTTCATTTGGTTGCTCTCAATCAACATCGATATTGGAATGAAAGAACATTTAACAATAACATAACTGCACTTTAAAGTTTAAACCCTAAACACAAAACCATTAACGAGGACCACTGCCTTCTACTGCCTCTGTTAGGACAACAGCAGCCAATAGGAAGCCAGTGATGCCTGAAGGTGGCATGCAGCGAACTGACTCAACAGCACGTTCTAGTCCTTAATAGTTTACACTGAGTGTGTTAGAACATGGCACCGCAGAAACACCCACCTCCTTCATAAACGGTGCCTCTAGCATTGCTTCTATATCCCAGTCGTCAGCCATGGCGACTTGGCAAGTGCGTGGCTGCTGCTGCAGAACAAAAAAACAGTAATTTACACGAGTGGCACATCGTGACGCTATAACACCTGTACATGCAACTGCTAAACTATACCTTTTGTATCCATGTCTATCGTTTACCTTGTCTCCATCGCTCTCAAAGCTGGTGCCTGTTTATTGTGTTTCTACGTCACTAATCTGTATCTTTCTGTTACTGCGAGCCATATATCTTTGTGGGCCATAAGTATGGACGAGATGTTTACCGTGGGTGGCCAGTAGAAAAACAAATGCATTTCAAAGTACTAAAATGTAGAAATACCTCTTTCTCCAAACACCAACATTTTATAAAACTCTTTCTGATGGGGAGTCGAAGAGTTTTGAAAATGCTCATATTGAACAGTCCTGAGCTGTCAATATTAAATGGTGCTGCATGAAAAAAGCAAAGTGTATATTATGGCCTTGAGGCCTTTTTTCCAAACTTACTCAATGAGAAAAATCTCCGATCGCAATGCGTTTGCCCTCGTGTATTTGCTGTGGAGACAAAAAACAGAGTAGTGTTATGGCATGACCAGGAAGCATGTTTGACAAATGGATTATACGCTTATGCATCAACTACCACGACTTGTGCAAAATGACCGCTACCATTTTAAACTGAACAGTTTGTCCTTATATTCTTTGGGTCTTTCGGTAAAGTTATTTTCTTTGAACCTATCTATGTGACTTTACCGAAAGACCCCTACGTGACTTTACCGAAAGACCCAAATAATATGAATTCTTGCAGTCACGAAAGCTTTAAGTTGTACTTATTTAAAATTAGCTTTTTCTTTAGAAAGCCCCCGTCTCAATGGCCTCTTGGTTTTTATTAGGGTCTATAATACTATTAATGTTGTACGTCACGACAAGCAGTAGACTTAGGTGCTACTAATCTTGATTTGAAGCTTTCGTGACCGCAGTAATCCATACTCTTTTGTTCTTTCGGTAAAGTCACGTACGTGACTTGAGTTAGGTGCTAATCTTCATACTTTTTAGAACTGTATTTCAGGTTCATGTGTCAAAAACAAATTGCTCATACACTACACTAAATTAAAAGGGGTAAATACATCACTTTATTCTGTCCCTCATAATGGTTCGACGTTTTGACTGGATGGCCTACTTCAGAATGAGTAAACTTAAATCTAGATTAACACAATACATTACTGTATCATTATTATTAAATTCGGTATCACGCTGGCAAGTACGAGGTCTTCAAAGTTGCATTGGGACAATTACCTTGTTAGGAAATTTAACTTGAAATGCCAAAGTGAACGTAACTGAACGGTACCAATAATATAAAATAATATAGCAGTACACGTGCAAATACCCCCGCAAATTGTACCTAGATTTAAATGGTAATCTGAAGCGAAGTAGAAAATAACCAAATACTGTATCCATAAACTGCCGATTTAATATATAGAAGCTTAAGTGCGCCACCGTTTAATGTGAAGAGGAAACTAATCGTGTTTAGTTTAGGTTATTTAAATGGTATTGTCCCTCAGGGCAAATGAAAAAGGTTAACTATATTAATAAAATACGTCAACTCCAGACAACCCTAGTTAAGTATCCCTTGGTTTGCATTTAGATATGAAACCAAGATGAAAAGTAATAATTGATAATGCAATATTTACACACGAACTAAGTGAAACTCATGCAAAGCCACGTTTTGGTTAAGGAAGAGAACTCGCTTGAGGTGTTTTATTAAGGCCACTGACCCCAAGCCTCACACGCGTTCGCATAAACACAAACTCCTTCCAACAAATTAAAAACACCCGAACCAATAACACCACCACGAGGCATTACGCAGCTTACATTTATATTGAACGCGATTGTAACAAAATAAAAACTTAAGAATCGCTACTCAAAGCGCGGGAATCACTAGGCCTGAGGCCTAGGTTGAAGCCTGCGGCCTAGGCCTCCACCTTCACCGCGTCCCCAACAAAATCACTCGGGCACGAGACGCTTCGTACGACGTTACTAAACTTCGCGAGATTCGACACTTACACGACTCCAACTCTAAACTCGGGGGAGTTTGCGACTAACTCGAGTTTTATTTTACGATCGAGAGACGTGACACATCAGCGCGACGCGACACAAATCCACCTCGATTCCGCGGGCTTCAGGCCTCCAACCCAACTCAAGCTCAGTCAGACTCTTCCTTAATGGCTCAACGTTGTCCCCCCTCCAAATTAATCTTTTAACTGCGTGATCGCACAAACTTTAAAACGGCAACGCCTCATCGGTCCTTTCACAACCGACGTGTGAGTTCGACCCCGGGCGTCGCCCGACCCTGACCCTCGGCTCTCTCGCGGCCTGTTCTGGCTTCCCCCAACAGCGCCCGCACGGAAGCCGTCGTGGAGGCGACAATTACAGCAGCGAAAGGCGACACCAAAGGCCACAGCAGCGGCTGAAGAAGTGCGAGAAGCGAACCTGCAAGGAGGCCGAGAGGCCGAGAAGGTGAGGGCGGAGTTCAAGTTACGGGGGCTGTGGTGGCCGCTCAGCGGCTACGCGGCGCCATGCGTGGGGTCTCCCGAGCCGAGGTTCAGGGGCCACGCGGTTCTTGGGGTTCGATGGCAGTGGGGAGCGCAGTGCTGGGTGTGGGCAGCAGAGGGCAGCGTCAGAGGGGTCCATGGTTGTGCTGCATACTGCCCTGGTCACACACGTTTGTGACTGACCCCCACGTCTGTGACTGCCCCCCTCGTCTATGAATGCCCCCCCCCCCATATCTGTGACTGCCCTGTCCACCCAAGCCTGTGACTGTCCCCCACGTTGTGACTGCTGTCCCCCATGTTGTGACTGCTCCTCACACCTGTGATTGCTGCCACCCACGCCTGTGACTGTGCTGTCTGTCATGCCTGGGATTGCCCTGTCCTGTACTCACCAGTGTGTATCCACCTGATGCTCACACACCTCGACTGGCTTTATCACTTGCATGTGAACATTCTAAGTGACTTTGACTTGACACGTTGGTCTGATTTCCAGCACCAACACTTGCAGGCCTCTTTCCAGACATTTTGGGGCTAAGATGCTAAGAAAAAATGAGGAGCAAACACGTCGGCGGACAATGATAAAACTGAACAAATATTGTAATAACATTGTCAAAATTACGAAAACATTATAAATGTACTCGTGACCATGAATAGTGATAACACTATGTAACACAATTCTTGTTCCTGGGTATTAAGTTTTTTTTCCTAATTGCTTATGCCTAAAAAGTATAGAAAACTATACTGTCCTTGGTAGTGGTGTTGAAAGTGGAGTATATCCTGGTAGAAGCGCTCGCCTTGCTCCTTCGAGTACGCTCCAATGTTCTCCTTGAATTTATCAAGATGAACATCAAGGATGTGGACTTTGAGGGACATCCTACGACCATTGTGCCGTAGTTCTTCACCAGAGTCTCAACCAGCTCCACAGTTGTCGACCTTGTGATTTCCCAAGAAGCCACAAAGCACTGCGAAAAAGCTGTTCCAAGCCGTTTTCTCCTTACTAGTGAGCTTCTTGGGGAATTCATTGCACTCTATGATCTTCTTTATCTGTGGTCTGATGAAGACACCAGCTTTGACCTTTGCCTTAGACAGCTTAGGGAAGAAGTCTTGAAGGTACTTGAAGGCTGCCGACTCCTTATCTACAGCTCTGACAAATTGTTTCATAAGGCCCAATTTGATGTGCAGTGGTGGCATCTGCACCTTCTGGGGGTCCACCAGTGGCTCCCACTTGACGTTGTTCCTCCCCACAGAGAACTCGGTCCGCTGTGGTCAGTCCCACCTGTGGTAGTGCGCCTTGGTGTCCCTGCTGTCCCAAAGGCAAAGATAGCAGGGAAACTTGGTAAAACCGCCTTAGAGACCCATCAGGAATGTCACCATTTTGAAGTCTCCGATGACGTCCCAGCCGTACTCATCATATTTCAAGGCGTCCAGCAAGGTCTTGATGCTGTTGTAATCCTCTTTGAGATGCACCGAGTGAGCCAGGGGAAGAGATGGGTACTTGTTACAATTATGGAGCAACACGGCTTTGAGGCTCCTCGAGGAGCTGTCAATGAAGAGGCACCACTCATTTTGGTTACAGACGATTTCGATTGCCTAGAACAAACTGGTCACATTGTGGCAGAAGCAGAGCCCATCTTGACGGATGAAGGAGCTGCAAAAAGGTTGATGTTTCCTCTGATCTGCGACCTGCACACTTTAATCCAACAAGTTCCACTGCTTGAGCCAAGATGTCATACGCTCGGCATTAAACTTGGTGAGACCAAGATCTCTGATCAAGTCGTTAAGGTATTTTTGGTTGGGGTAGTATGGGTTTCTCTCCTCAGCTCCACCGCTGAAATTGTCATCTGTATCTACGTCTTCCTTGCTCTCTGACTTGCTGCGCTCTTCTAAAGACGGCTGATTTCTCTCCGGAGTGGGTACGGGGAGCTCATGGCAGTGTGGCACCGGGGCGATGGATGAAGGAAGGGCCGGATATGTGATAGCAGGTGCATTCTTGCCAGTCCGACGTTTGGTAGGGTCTATGAAGAAGTAGCAGTTGCTTGAGTGGCAAGTGGGTTCCTGCTAAATTCTTGGGATAGCGAACTTCATGGCTCTCTTTTCCCCTCTGTCCCCTCCTACAAAAATAAATTTATTTCACCCATGACTAATGTGTAAGAAATTCTCTTACACATTTTTCATATATATTTTTTCAATAACATTGAAAATTGTAAACATTTTTAAATGAAAAACGTTAACAATTTTACAAATTTTATAACATAAAATTCCGAGCAACAATTGTCCATCTTACCTTCCAGAGTTTTTTGCATTGTTCGCAGGTGAAAGTAGGTGCCCAGTGTTTGTCTTGATCCCCGACAGGCATGTTGAAATATGCCTTGTAGGCCTCACACATCTTAGCAGATGCTTTCCCAGAGTACTTTTTCGCTAATCTTGATAAATTGGCCACAGACAGCAAAATGCGTCTGCCGAATGCTTGGAGCCTCTTGATACCATCTCAGAAAAATGCAGATATGTATCCACTTCGGCAGCTGGAACTAAACTGAACTGGTGGGCTTAAGGCCCCTGTATTTATACTATTTATATTACTGGAAAGTTCTAGAATGTTTTAGAAGTTATGTGATGCCGCCGCCGCGAAGCCGCTCGCCGGGCGCCCCATCTACGACCTCGCCACCACCAAGTGACGAGGCCGACCCCGCTTCCCCCTCACCGCCCCCCACATAAACACACCCTCACACATTTTCCCACCTAGAGCTCCGAGGGGAGGTCTCCTGGCCGGCAGGTTTTTACCCGAAAGCCCTCATTAGGATAATTTTCACAAGTTTCCTGCGGCCAGGGAATTGGGCGACCTCCCCCAATGCTGGTTCGCACCGCGGCGCTGTGACCCGGGTTGAGATTATACGGTCACGGCGGGGGCTGTCCAGCCACCACGGTTGAAACGCACCATCCCACACACGTATCGGCAAGGCAGGCAAGGGTCCGCAATCCACAAACGGACGGCGGGAAAACGGGACCCCGCCCACTGTTCGTCTAGACCAGGGGTCCTCAAACTACGGCCCGCGGGCCACATGCGGCCCGCCGAGGACATTTATCCGGCCCGCCGGGTGTTTTTGCCGCCGCTGCCTGTCTGTTACTTTTTTTCTTCATGAGAAGAACGGTCATTGGTGGAAGAGGGAGAGGGGGCGGAGTTCCCCCCAATCAGACTGCATTGATGGGCAGTGCAGTCTGTATGTCTCTGTGTGGGCAAAGTTATTGCTGGTATATTGTTTTTGTAGCGCTGTATATATATTGGTATTTTACTAATAGCAATTTTGACTCCCTAGGAAACAATGATGTCAAGAAAGAGAACAATTGACTCGGAGTGTAGGATATTCAAAGAACAGTGGACTTATGATTACTTTTTCATGCAGTACAAGGAAAGAGCTGTGTGTCTGATATGCCAGAATATAGTGTCTGTGTTCAAAGAATACAATTTACGTCGACACTATGAAACTCAACATAAAGATAAATATGATTGTTTGGTCGGAGAATTGAGAAAAGATAAAATATTAAAACTGAAAAATACATTAACAACTCAGCAAAATACTTTTGTGAAGCAGAAGCAGCTAAATATTTCATCACTGCGAGCAAGTTTTCAAGTTGCCAAGCTAAAAGCGTGCACTGGCAGACCATTCGTGGAGGGAGAATTTGTTAAAGAATGCCTTCTTTCTGTTGCCAAAGAGATGTGTCCAGAGAAGGCCGATTTATTTAGTACAGTGAGTCTTTCAGGACCTACAATTACACGGAGGATTGAAGAAATGGGAGACAATTTGCATCAGCATTTGCAAAACTCCACAAAAAAACTTTCCTATTTTTCCTTGGCACTCGACGAAAGCAATGATGTTCGTGATTCTGCACAACTTCTAATTTTTATTCGTGGGACGAATGACTATTTCGAAGTCACAGAAGAGCTTGCTGCACTGCAAAGCATCAAAGGAACAACTACAGGTGAGGATATTTTTCGATTTAAAGCTTTCGTGACTGCAGGGATTCATCTTCTTGGTTCTTTCGGTAAAGTCACATAGAAAGGAAGTAATAAAATAATAAAAGTAAAACATAAAATAATTCTCACGACGTTTCGGCCACAACGCAAGCAGCCGTCCTCAGGTGAAAACCAGGTCTGTTGGGGAGACAGCGTCTGAATGAAACAGCACACGAGCTTGGAGCATATATAAGCTGGGTTGGAAGCGGGGGAAAGAGCTCCTTGACAAAATAATTTGCATATCAAGAGGAATTTAGCATATTTATGGGAAATGCAGGAATGTGATTAGTACTACATATGCCCGTGCTGCATATGAAGTACTAATAACATTCCTGCATTTACCATAAATATGCTAAATTACTCTTGATATGCAAATTCTTTTGTCAAGGCGCTCTTTCCCCCGTTTCCAACCCAGCTTATATATGCTCCAAGCTCGTGTGCTGTTTCATTCAGACGCTGTCTCCCCGACAGACCTGGTTTTCACCTGAGGACGGCTGCTTGCATTGTGGCCGAAACGTCGTGAGAATTATTTTATTATGTTTTATTTTTATTATTTTATTACTTCCCTTCTACGTGACTTTACCGAAAAAACCAAGAAGAGAGGATATCTATGAAAAGGTTTGCCAAACTGTGAATGGTTTGGAGCTGAACTGGACTAAACTATCCAGTGTGACAACTGATGGTGCTCCTAGCATGGTGTAATTGCTCGCATTAACCAAGAGATGGACAAACATAACCATTCTCATCCAATTGCCATACACTGCCTCATCCACCAACAAGCGCTGTGTAGTAAATCACTGAAGTGGGACTCTGTTATGAAATTTGTGGTATCTTGTGTTAACTTCATTAGAGCTCATGCACTAAACCACAGACAATTTCAGGAATTTCTGTCTGAGCTAAATGTTGACTATGAAGATGTTCTGTATCACACAGAAGTCCGTTGGCTGAGTCGAGGGGGAGTTTTGAAACGTTTCTATGACTTACTTCCACAGATTACAGCTTTTCTGCTTTAAAAAAACAAAGAAGTACCAGAGCTCAATGATGCAGAATGGAAATGGCACCTTGCCTTT